TATATATATATATATATATATATATATATATTTGAAGTGGATAATTTCTTTACTGATTGTACCACTTTAGTTATTGCCTTGCTTTGTATAGGTAGCACTCACATTGCAATGATTTTCTGAAATAGTACATAATTCAAGCTTTCATTTGTACCCGGATCGAGTTATTTAGGAGAGCACTTCTAATTTAAAATGTCTGAGGACACATGGGTTTGTTTTTTCTTTGTTTTTTTCTCTTTTTAGTTTAGCAATTAACATCTAGATCTATTATTTCATCGTCAAAAAACGTGACATTCAATACCTGCTGCAGCTACCACATTAAATACCTCCTCGTCCCATTTGTATAAAATCAATTTTTCTAAGTGGTCCATGGTTGATGAAAGAAAATGACTATTGCTTCCATAATGTATGACACTTAGGCCTATGCTTTATTCACTAGACACATTTGTTTATGTATTTGCTTTATTTGTGAATTAAAGACAAAGTGGATTATAAAAGGACATTATAAAAACAAAAAGACTCCTTGGCAGGGTGCTGTGGCTCATGCCTGTAATCCCAGCACTTTGGGAGGCCACGGCGGATGGATTGAGTGAGTCCAGGAGTTCAAGAACAGCCTGGGCAATGTGGTGAAACCCTGTCTCTACCAAAAACACACACACAAAAAAGATGAAAAAACAGCCGGGCATGGGGGTGCATACTTGTGGTCCCAGCTACTTAGAAGGCTGAGGAGGGACGATCACAGGAGCCTGGGAGGTGGAGGTTGCAGTGAGCTGGGATAGTACCACTGCACTCCAGCCTGGGCAACAGAATGAGCCCCTGTCTCAAAAACAAACATGCAAAAAGAATTGAGTTTTCAATTTCCATGGTTGTGAGAACGAACAGTTACCATACCCAGTATTGTTTTTTAAAGTATTGTGAAGCCGATCCCACGCATGTTTTCACATGATTCAAAGATTCGTTATAAATGTCACAGGCCCATCATGATGGCCCGCCATCCAGGCCTGTGAAGAAGGTGGTCAGTCATCAGAATAACTCCTGAGACTCTAGCGGGAGAGGTGACCCTCCTTCCACAGGACCCAGCTGGGCACAGGCCACATCTCTAAGCCTTACCTGAGCAGGCTGGACACCTGAGGAGTGATCAACACCACCAGCTTCCTCGTTGGCCTGTGTCTCCTCAGTGACTGCCCCAGGACAAGGGCACCCTGGCAGTAGATGTCATTGGTGGCCAGTGTGACAAAAGCCTGATCAGTCACTGTGAAAATCAACAAAAACACCAGAGTTACACTCATGAGGCACGGCAGGGGTGATGGTGCCCTGGTCGCCTCCTCTCCTCTCCCGAGCATTGTGGCTGGGGCTCAGCACGGCGGCTCACACGTCATCCCAGCACTGCAGGAGGCCAAGCCGGGTGAATTGCTGGAGCTCAGGAGTTGGAGACCAGCCTGGGCAACATAGTGAAACTCCATCTCTACAAAACATACAAAAATTAGCTGGACATGGTGGCATGCCTGTAGTTACAGCTACTTGGGAGGCTGAGGTGGGAGGACACTTGATCCTGGGATTGGAGGCTGCAGTGGGCCGTGATTGCACCACCGCACTCCAGCCTGGGCGACAGACTGAGACCCTGTCTCAAAAAAAAAAATCACGAATTGCAGTGAGTAGTCAGTACTCTAATTCACATACACGTTTCCTTTCATTCTAAACAAAAGAAAACACAGAAGGAGTGTGAAGAAACCTCAAACATGAGGCAAAGTCAACCCAACTGCCATGACCATTTCCTCATGCTGCAGTGCCAGGGAAACTCACGGCTACAATCTATATGAGTTCCAGTCCTTTATTTTATATTGTGTTTCACTCTTGAAAACTCAGCCAAAGTATTTAGATCTTAGGTGAAAACAAAAGGCAAAAAGTGGAAGCAATGGCTTGATTACCTGAGTTACAGCAAAGATGTAATCCAACTCACTCAAAACAACTGTGCTCTGAGCTAGTGCAGTGGCTCATGCCTGTCATCCCAGTGTTACGGGAGGTGAAGGAATGAGGATCATTTGGGCCCAGGAGTTTGAGACCAGCCTGGGAAACACAGCAAGACCTCATCTCTACT